CCTGCGGGCAGCCCCCCGTCCCTGGCGCAGCTCCCCGATGCCTGTGAGGGGGGAAGCCCCCCCCAGCCCACCGCAGCATCCCGCAGCAGCCAGGTCGAGCGCCCGCGCTGGCATCCATCAGCCCTGGCTCGCCGTTCAAAAGGGCTATTATGTGCCCGGTGCGGCTCCTCGCCACGACCCACGATGGGGCCAACCGGGTTAAAACAGTGGCGAAAATCACCCGGTTCCCCCCGATGCGCCGCTCCAGCACGCGGTGTGACCGGTTGGACCGGGAGCGATGGGGTGAGGGAGGATTTTGTGGTGCCGGGTTATTTTGCCCTGGCTGAATACGTGCTCCCGGGTCCGAAATGCCGGAGGGGAGGTCAGCCCCACGGCCGGAGCCGCTGAAAGGCTGATAGGGGAGATCCAGTCCCCTGAATATGTAACAGCCCGGCGATTATTGTCTCTCTTTTACTATTCTCTGTGTTACACAAGTTAGGAGACAAATGCTAACCACACATGAATATCAATCAGATGCCATAAAAGAGCAGCTGCAATGCCTCATAAATGGTTTAATCCTGTTACTGGTGAAATAGCCATGACTTCTCCATTCCTTCGGCACCGAGTCGTTTCAGAAGGAAGGGATGGAAATTAATTTTGCTCTACCTTGGAAATGCGCGCTGGCCCCCGGCAATTCTGCGGCGCGGGGGGATGTGCGGGTTTAAAGTTTTATTTACGCAGAAATAATGCCGGAGAGTTGGGGTTTTATACCCCGTTTTCTGAGCGTAAAGTGCGTTTATAAGCCTTTTTTGCTCGATGGGGGAAAAATCATCGGCAAATAAAGGTCGGTCTGGGCTGTATTATGGGATGTCTAGCTTCAAGTGGAAGCTAATACACCAGATTTCTTGCCAGCTCAGCCTGTTAAATGAGAATAGGACCTGAATGGATAAAAATCACGTCGTGTTGGTGTCCCTAACAGCTTCACACGTATGTGTAAGCCCTGGGTTTACTGTGACGGTTTAGGGATTAATGAAGTGCAGTTTAATTAAATAATTGGTCAATAGAGAAAGGACAGCAAAATGAATGCCTGCAGGAAATAATTGGGCTCTCGCATTGCCAAACTTAAACATTTAGGTAAACAACACAATTAAAGCTTCATCAAGCATTGTTAGACGAGTCAGCAGCATATAGATTGTTGGCACAACAGAAATCCCTGCCTTCCCCTGATTTATTTGCACGCTCAGGGAGATGCACAGGCTGTTGTCAGTGTGCATCTGAGCAGCAGAAGTCAGCTGCAGAGGTGGAGGAGCACCAGGTAGGCTCAGCAGCGGCTGGGGCCGGGGGGGACCGTGGGGCACCCTCTCCCCAGGCTGGGTGCGTGCCTTTAGGCTCTGCCAATGCCTTGTTTTAGAGGTTCTTCACAACAGCTGCTGGAGTGTTTTCATAAAACGTGTTAATTTATGAGGCATGTAAGGTTATATGAGAGCTGTTCGACTTGGTGGCATTTTCATGCTCAGGCAATTAGCTTTCTGGAACAAGAATATTCATGCAATATTTGCCTTTCTAAATAAACTGTATTATTTATTCATACACATTCACACACATTATTTCTGTTGCAGCTATTGGATTTTTTTTTTTTTTAATGCTGTTATCATAAGAAGAAGAGGAGCAAAGTCCTGACTTTCAAATGTGTATTTCTGACTGTGGGTAGCATCTGATGTGCTTGCCTCGGAAATACCGAGCTGCCTAGCACTGTGCACGCACAGATTCATCTGTGGGGCTTTGGCTGGGGCTGTGTTGCTCCCTATGGAAAGAGGAGCCACAGCACTCTGGGCCCAGCATACCCAGTTAATGCAAGGTGCAGTCGTATTTGTCGTTATGTGCTTGGGTGCTGTTTTACGATAACTTTTTTTCTCTGGCATTTTGCAGAAGGCATTCAGGGCACTTCATCAGTTGATTCTTTTGGCAGGTGGGAAGCAAAGAGGGAAGGAAAGGCAGAGAAAAACAAGCTTGCAGTAAAAAAAAAAAAAAAGGGTCAAAAAGGATTGTTTCTCTTCGCAAAACACAGTTGTTGTTCTCCAATTTCTAGAAGACAAAAGCATTTCCCAGCAGAAGGGGGTGTGCATGTCAGGGGGTTAGGAAGAAATAGGATGCGGCTGGAGAAAAGATTTCGAGTTATCAGGTATTATCAGGAGATAGTCAAAACACCAGCAATTTGGATAAAGCCTTAATAAACAAACAGCCTTTGGCATGTGAGAGAATAGAGCTTGCCAGCTAGGGCTGCTTTTGGGTCTGCTTTATTTACTGCTATGGAAGATGAACTGGAAAAAAATCCGCTATTCATTTTGAATTTTCATTACGGGGACCAAATTAAATCACTTTAAAAATCCTTATTACGCATGGAAATGAATGCAGGTACCCTTTTCAGTTCATGGATTTTAACATCTCCATTTTTCTCTTCTGCAGGCTGGACTTTACTCCTATTAACTAATATCAGCAATTATAAACACTAGAAATAAACAGAGGCATTCTCCCGTCCCATTATTTTTCATATTTGACCTGAAAGCATTATACATATGAAAATAAGCTAAAGACCGTGTCGTGCCACCAGACCCAAACCATGACGTAACGTGCATGACTAAGAAGCCTACATGGAGATGGGGGCCAAGCCCTCCGGGGTTCTGTGTGTGTATTTAGCGGGGCAGGGTTTGAGATGCTCTCAGCTATTCATTTTCCTTCTGTCCCCCAGAATCGCAGAATACTCCTACGGGCATCAAAAGAAATCAAGCAAGAAGAAGAAAATCAGCAAAAACGATATCCGCCTGGTACCGCGGGATGTGGAAGAGACGGATAAAATGAACGTTGTGAGCTGCTCCTCTCTCACTTCATCCCTCAACTACTTTGACTACCACCAGCAGACCCTGCCGCTGGGCTGCCGCCGCTCCGAAAGCACCTTCCTCAATGTGGAGAGCCAGAACAACAGGAACGCCGGCTCCAACCACATTTACCATCACACCTTCACTGGGCAGAGCCCCCAGCAGCCCGACCTCATCATCAATGGGATGCCGCTGCCGGAGGTGAGTGTGGGGGGCAGCCTGAGCCCCTGGGGCGTCGATAACGTCTCCGCACGTGGACCGTGGTGTGTGGGTCTTGGTGTAAGCACTGCTGAAACGAGGTGTTGAGCAAACTGGCAGTGGTGTTTTCCCTGCGTCGGACACCCCAGGGCGAGGGAGTGATGGAGGATGGGCAGGGGGAAGCGGTGGGCATGCACCTTGTGGGTGCTGGGGCAGCCCTGACACATGGTTGTGGGTGGATGTTTCACCCCCCTGACGCTGCAGAGACCCCCAGAAGCACCCAGGTAGGGATGCTGGTGTGGCCAGCCTGGTGGCTGCTTTGCAAGTGGATTCTGAGTGTGGTGATGCTCAAGGGAAGAGATGCTTGTTGCCTTCACAGGAGTTTTTTTAACAGGTTGTTGAAAGGGGTGTTGGTGGCTGTTGCTCTGGAGGTTTTGCTGGGGATGTAGGATGCTCTGCTGTGGCCGCTCACACGCCTGGCCCGGTGCTGTCCCCTCGCTGTGCAGGACGGGCACGCGCTGGCTGGTGTGGGAGGGATGTGCGGTACCTGCCAAAGGCAGGGAAAGGGGATGCTCCGATCCATGCCATCCTCATCAGATTCTTCTAATTCGTTGGCTTTCCTGTACATCACAGGCATCATTTAATGTTGCTTGTTTGTCTGTCTTTGAACTATTGTTTGGTATTAAGCAAAGCAATCAAAGGTTTGTCATGTTTCCTGCTTTGAACAGAATAACAAAGCTGAAAAAGCACCTAAAATATTTATGGCTTGCTCTGTTTTGCGTTCAGTGTGCTGGTGTAAATGCAAGATGCTGCTGCTGAAGACAGCGGAGCTGCTTCAGATTTATACTGGCGCTACGGAGAGCAGAGCCCAGCCCTGTGCGAGAGCCTGCAGGGCTGCTGGGAGGGCTGGTGCCAGTGGGCCCGATCCTGCGCTGTTTGTGCTTGCAAAACCCCCGTTGCACCCTGGTGTTTAACCTCCCCTAAGGCTACAGAGCCAGGCCCGAGAGGTCACGTACCGGAGTTGGCCCAGTTTTGGGGTGCTCCCGGCCCGAATACCGGTCGCTCAAAGCCGAGGCACAGCTTTTGATGACCGGATGGTTGGGAGGGTGTTGTCGGGATCTCCGTGACGGACCGTGGGTGCTCAGCTGCCTTCTGCCCAGCCTGCCTTTGGAACCTCTCCAGCCCTCGTGCGTGCAGGCTCCGGGCTGTATGGCATCGCCTTTTTGAGGTCACCCACGGAGATGCTGCGAGGAGGAACTTGTGCACAGTGCACAAGTGCTGCGGAGGTGGGAGCCCATATGCGTTTCGGAGGGTACAGCAGGGACGGCCAAGTGCTGGTCCTAAGAATTAAATCTGTTTAACTTCTGGTGTCAGTTTAAAAGCTGTAATGGAGTTTCTTAGCAATGGCTGCATGGGAATGACCTGGATGTAAGCACTCAAATATTCTACTTACACGTATCCGGCCACATAGCTGAGCAGGCTCTGCTGCTCCCAGATGCTGTGATGGGGACAGGCAGGGACTTCACATCCACGTTTGGATGGGAGCAGTTTAGGACAGAAGTCTGTCTCTGGTGAGGTAAGGCAGAAGAGCTGCTACCGAAGCCACCACCTCCTTCTGCTGTGCTCAGGCAGGCTGGGGGTGGGAAACACTGCCCTCCATGTGTTGGGGGTCTTCATCGATGCTCAGATTTGCCTGTGCTCTTTGGGGAGTCCCAGCTGGGGCTCAGGGTGCCCAGCTGCCTGGGGGACGATGCATCCCAAGGTTGTGGGTGACTGAAGCCGTTGGGATGCTGGGGTCAGCGATCCTGAGGAATTCCTGCCTTCCTGGAGCCCTGTCATTTGGAGACGGGTCTCGGGTGTGTTCCTGGCTGGTGCCTTGCTAAAGGCACTGAGCAATGGAGCACCCTGTCAGCCTGTGATTCACTGCCACACACAAAATTCAGTCGTAAAATCTGTCACACGTCGGCATTAGCCTGAAGTGCATGCCAGCAGCAGGAGGTCTGCGGTGCCAGGAGGGAGGGAAGGACCGTGGGGAACATCACAGCTCAGCTGATGAAGTTAACCGGCAGCTGCGAGCAGAAGGCAGTGCTGCCCACGATCCTCCCCGGCACCGCAGTGAGCCTGGGGTCTGGCGGGATGGACTCTCCAAAGACCCCCACCGCCTTGGGTACCCTCCTGTGAGGGAGCTGGGATGCTCATTGCTTCTCCTCATGCCTCCAGCTCGCCCCGTTTCCCCATCACTTGTGCAGGTAGGATACACTGCAGAGAGCTGGTGCCTTGCCTGGAGAAATACGTTTGTCTCTTGTAACCAGTGCTTGCTGCAGTCTTGCTCAGGGACCTGCAGATCTCAGGTGGGTGCTGTCAGAAAGAGCAGCATGTCCTGGCAGGGGTCTGCATGCTCCTTGGGGATGCTTTTGGAAGGCAGGGCATGGGGAGGAGAAATCCCAACTGGAAGCTGCTTGAAAGTTTGGTTTAGGGTGGGAACGTTTCTTTTTTTTGGCAGAGAGCCTATGTGTAATGCTTCCAGCTGTTGCAAGGGAAGTTATCTTGCTGGCGGTGTGGGTTCTACTGGCTTCTAAAAATCCTGAGGGTGAGGATGCTCAGCGGTGACCAGAGGGACAGCCTTGTCCTGGCAGGCAGGGTGACACAGAAACCCCATAAAAGATACTTCCATGGAAGAGCATTGCAGACCGCAGCCCGTCCCTGCTGTCACAGGTGCTATTGGTGATGAAGTGCTTATAGAGTGTGCTGTTGGTACACCGCCGCGTGATGGTGATTTAATAAATTAAATTCCTGCCCAAATCCCGAGTTCCCAGAGCAAAACCATTCCCTGCAGTGCATCCAGCGGGACTTTGTCTGGGCTGATTTGAAGAGCCTCCAACAACGAGGCCGCCAGCGTTTCCCCCGGGAGCCTTTATGAGGTGTCAGCATCAGGGAGATATCGCGGCTGCTCCACCTGGGAGTGACTTTTCCTGATGGGAAGGCAAAGCATCGTTTGAAAAAAGATAAAATACAGAGGTAAACGTGTCGCTGGCGGTGTCGCTTAGCATATGTTGCTTGTGGCTGGGAGTAAGCGATTGCTTCTGCAGACGCGTGCTGTCCTGGCAGTGGTGGGTTTGCACTGTAGCTGGTCTTTAGTGTGAGCCTTATTTACTTTAGCAGTCAGGAACCTTGAAATAGAAGTCCTCGAGGATGGGCTGTTTGGAGAAATAACTTTGTCTCTTGGAACGAGTGCCGTGGAGTGTCAGCTTAAAACCTGCCCGCCAGCAGCCCTGCG